AAAAAAAACCTTTTATCAAGGTATATGTGAAAATTGTCAGAAAAAAAATTATTTAAAATTAGCACATACGTTATTTATAATTTGTAAAGCCATAATTTATGTCATGCTATGATTTTTTCAATTTTCGAGCATTAAAAAAAATTATTAAAAATAGTAATCAGCATCTCGTACTACAACTGTGTGAAACGAGTAATTAAATCACTGCTATTTAAAGGGATTTCTGTAACCCTTGGATATCAAACTATTGTTCTTTTTTTCGATAGCCATTGAATTAATAAGTATATGTTACTTGAACGAATTCAAGTCATAAACATAATCTAAATTTTTTCCCAAAAAGTATCATGCAAATATAATATAATACAAAACATATTTTGGTGGAACAATTTTTCTGTGATTCATCAAACTGTGTAATGCACACGAGTATAGAAGTAAAGTTTGTAAGATAATTGGATAATTTTTTTTAAGTCCTTTGTGAAAATACCTGTATGAGGATATTTATGTAAAATTTAAACCATGTTAAGGCCAACAACTATTTGTAGATTATATGCAAAGTTATATTTTTTTACTCATATTGTAACAATAATTTTTGTACTACTGTCCCGTAAGTTGCATAATAATTGTACACGATTTATTAAAAGTTTGTAATATTTACTTGGTTATTAAATAAATTCATCCCTCAGCAAGCAAGACCAGTTTATAATTTATGAATATACTCGTGAAAAGGTTTTTAGATGAAGTAAACGATTTGTTTCGTTAAGTCTTTTTTATATTTATTTCAGAAAAATAAATACTTGACAATTTTTTGAAAACAACGTAAGGCGTCTTAATTAACATTTCTGCATAATTTGGTTCGATTTAAATAATTGGGGTGTTTTCCGCAATCGTCACCAGCAAGTAATTTAAGGTTGCGCTCTACGCTACTATATTAGGTCGGTAAGTCAACTACCTTGATTTAAACTGGCGCTCTATTCCGTAATCTGGCCATCAGTTAAAACAACAGACGACGTGAAAGTCGAGAAAAAAGTGAAGATTTCATCGCTGCAGTTGACTGTCGTCTGCTATTTCAACTGATGGCCAGATTACGGAACAGAGCGCCAGTTAATTCAAGGTAGTTGACTTACCGACCTAATATAGTAGCGTAGAGCGCAACCTTAAATTACTTGCTGGTGACGATTGCGGAAAACACCCTTGGGGTCGAACTAATCTACTTTACCCACTAGCAGTACTGCTGCGACCTTTACAGGTAATTTACATCTTTATTATTTCCATGATCGACTTAAGTATAGGTATACGAGTTCTACGACGGTATAGGTCCAGAGGTAGGATAACTGTGTGCTATAAATCTATCTTGTCTAGGTGTACGAGATAAAAAACAATCTAAAATCAACAAAAAAAAATCCTTATTTTAAGGTAAGCCATTTTTACATTAAATTTGAATGGTTAAGTGAAAAAACTCTCAATAGTTTTGTGAGGTTATACATTTTTTTTCTTTGGTTTCAGAGCACTTTATAAACGTAAACATGGAAGAGCTCCATCCGTACGACCGGATGGTAGTGTACTGTCAGCAAGCACCAGATTTGTTTATACGAAATGCCTCCTCACTTTTGAGCTCACCAGAATCGCCTACCGCCTTGACTGGCCTGTCAAAGGACATTTATGACACAGCTAATGGCCACAAACAAAACGCTGCAGATCTTTTTACAAAATTAAACTTTTGGAAGTCATTTTCAAATTATTGTGGGGTGAGGAAAATTGATTAATAGTAAAGATATGGTGCTAAACTCCCAAAATGTTTTAGGCCAAAATGAAGGCTTATGGATTTTTCATGGCTGGCTCCACCTTGAATGGGTTTGCATTAAAAACAAGTGATGTCGATCTTGTCATACTCACTAGATCAAAAGTTAAGCACAAGCACAACAAAAGGAAAATGGGAGTTGAACTGTCATGGATAATCAACATTTTCAAGTCAAATCGTGGGCATAAGTTTTTTGAGATAATACTTACGGTTTGATTGTTTGGGTGACGTTTAACTTAACGTTTTAGCATCTGTCTCACAAGCTCAAATGAGAAAAATGGGGGACAAACCTTACATATACTTCAAAGAGCTGATCAATGGTTACGATGTTGATGTAACAATGAATTTAATGGATTCTATTTTGAATTCTCATCTTCTTTTTCGTTATACTCAAGGTACAGACAATTGGTTTAAGTTTTCAATAAGCTGATACGTATTTCATAAATATTATTCACTTTGTTTGTTTTTTTTACTAATGTACATAGTGGATTGGCGGGTTAAACCTCTCGGAATAATTATCAAATTATTTGCTAAGAATCAAAATTTATTTGGTACATTTGAACACTCGTTCAATAGTTATCATATGATGCTCATGCTTATTCATTATTTACAGTGTAAGTATGACTTTTTTTAAACGAATTCGTTTTAGCATCTTAATTTTTTCATTTATTATTTATTCTTTTTCCCTTTATACATTAAGATGGAGCAAAACCAGCAGTAGTACCATGCTTACATAAATCTGCGCAGAAAATGTTCTCAAGGAGTGAAAAAGTTTTTGACATAGATTTCTTTAAGCCTATGAATATTCAGTTCACTTCAAATAATCGTCAGACCCTTGAAGAACTACTTCTAGGTTTTTTTGACTACTACAATAAATTCAAGTAACATCTTATTTAAAAAGTGGGCAAAATTACCAAGTTACATCTTATTTTTAAATCGTAATATTAATTTTTAGTTTTGACATGACGGTAATGTCTATAAGATTAGGAGCAGCATATCCTAAAAACCAATGGATGACAATGGTTGATAAAAAAATTTTCCATTCTTACCGCAGTCCTATTTTGAAGTTGGAAGGTAATTTTTTAATTTTTAAATTTTTTAATTAATTGAAAGCTTTTCGCTTAATTGTGTTTTTAATATCTTTACATTGATTTTTCTTTTTTTAACACTGTAGAACCTTTTGAGCAGAAAAATGCGGCAAGAAAAGTCAGTGATGAAAAAAGTTTTAACAAAACGAGAGCGGCTTTCAAAAAAGCTCACCAAAAACTCATTGAAAGACGTGACATAAAGTGTATTTTTTCAAAGTTTATCTAAATACGTAATCTCGAAAGATTTTCTTAATTTTTAAGTTTTTTTTCTATACATTTCGTATCATGTAGCTTAGAGGAAACTTGATGACCAAATAAAACTTTTGAAGTATAATACTCGTAAAATAATGTTATCTCAATACCGATCTCAATACCGATTTTCGCCACCGTCAAAACATCACTAACTGTTATAAGAAACTTGATCCTACCTATATGTTGCACACTGTACCAATGGTAGTAAGTCAATTATGGTGACAACGGTGATCGATCGGTCGACCGGTCATATACCTACCAGCGACTGTCAGGTATATCCTTGCCGAGCAGGAACCGTTGTCACAGCTCACGCTGCAGAGATAGGGATAGTAGGGCATGACGGGCACCCATTATTGTTTACACTCTTACAATTTTTTTCCACCTTAAATATAATTCTCCAGCTGAGCATCTTTCAGAGCGTGACACATAGAATAAAACTACTCGAAATAAAAACTATATAAATCAATAAATAATCAGTTATCATATAATAAAATGTAGTTCTTAAAAATGCTCATTCTGCCCCCCTGCGGGCACAGTGAACATAGCTGTAGGGTACGATGAGCGCGGGATGATTGAAATAATTCGATGGTAGGTGAACAACAGTATTTATATTAATTAATTTTTAATGATATTTAACAAACATAAGAAATTTATTTAAAAAACATGAAACATTTATTTGTTAAATCATTGTACATTAAATGTAATATCACAAGTTACATTACAATCTGTTAGATAAGTTATTTTAATACCACAAACATCTTGCCTTAATCTCATAAATTTTGTGTTTAGTACAAATAACTGTATGCCAATATTACATCAATGTTGCACTCTAATATGATAAAAATAAAGATTCATTAAAATGAAATATATACGTAAAAAACCTCTTCAGTCTTGCCAGTTTAAGATTGTAGGAAAAAAGAACTAAAATTTATAGGATTCATAGCAACTGAATTTACCAAAGAATCACTTTGTGTAATATTTTAAATATTCGATTTGAATATTATGAATATTTCTCTCCATCTCCTTTTTGTATCGTCACATACCATTCTTATTTTTAGTCAAGTCACGATCCACAGTTAAACTTACTTACTTATAAAATAAGACAGACTAGAGAAATTCAAAGCTAAGACTAAGGTTAAGTTAATCAGCTTTGTTTTGATTCGAACAGAATGACAGCGTCTGCTGCAGACGCAGAGTTCTCAGGCTCATTGTGCCTCAAACGCGGTGCCCATCATGTCCCCTAGAAGCCATGTTTTAAAATATATATAACTTTTTAATGGTGGAAGATAAAAATTTTTTTTCAACGGATCTTGAAAGTAAATCAAACAGACTGTTGGAGAAACTTCACGAGATAATTACTGGATATAATTTTTATTGTAAAAAAAAGCCGTGAAGCTATCATTGTCCGCAGGATTATGTATTAAAATATTTTTATGAATTTTTACAATTTATTTAATTACTTTTTATCATGATACTCTTTGAGGAAAATAGTGTTGATATTTTACAATGTAAAAAAATTTATTTGAGAGAAAAACATTAATTTTTTCATTGAGTACATGATGAAGTTCCAAGAATTGCGTATCACATAAATAATATCACGGGAAAAGGGTATGGCTGTGCGTTCGGCAATGGTCACTCGACAATTACTCACAAACGTAAAAGTGAAACAACACGATATCGCCATCTCCTTCGCACGCATTATTCATGATCACGTGACGTAACTGACGAAGTACGCCGAACAGACCCATCACACTATCGCAGCATTCGTGCCTAATCTCGCGGCACCGCCGGTATTTTCGCCGGTTCCTGCCTCGGTGCACCATAAGCCAAACAAAAGAGAACAAAGAGCAGAAAACTTCATTTGGCGAATACTACACTGTTACACACATACATGTATATATAATAAACTTATTGCACCTAGCTCACAGAGACAGGGTATATAAGAGCTTACTCAGCAGATTCTCGGGTAGTTCGACTTCATCTCTGAATGGATCACCAATAACTTTCTTTCTGTTCAGACAAAGGCTGCAGTGTGCGTCCAATTTTTAATCGCTTAAAAGTAAAGCTATTGTCAGAATTGATAGTTCAAAGACTAGATTTTGCGCGTTTTTTTTTTCATTATATTAGTTTTATCCGTTGGAAAAAAATGTCAGAAAATTGGCAAACGTTTTGTTACGAAATTTCGGCAAAATTTCACGCCAATCTTTCAATGTTTTCTGAAACAATGGATCCTCCGGGTGGTTACTACGCTTTGTACGGACTGTCCAGAGAGATTTGGGATAAATTTGAAACCAACAAGCAAACAGATAGAGAGTTGAAAAACAAGATTTTAATGTGGATTCAGTTTGGCGAATGCGTGATGGTAACATTATTTTAATTTAACAATAGCCGTGTATTTGCAATTTATTGTCTAATTTTAATTGAAGAGTGCATTTCCAAATTATGGGTTTTACCTGGCTGGCTCTACTTTCAACGGTTTTGGTTTGAAAGATGGTGACGCCGACATTACTTTTGTAACGCACCATTCAACACCTGACAAGTGGACGTGTATATCTATTCTTAGTACACTTTTGGCCACTTTGAAAGAAAAATACAGTTAATTAATGTTTGAATCTTATATCAATTTTATCCTACCTTGAAAGCTTTTGTAATTTGTTTTTGTCGCACAGGACACTTGCGTGCTTCTGAAATGATATCAGCAGCACTTGTGCCGATTATTAAATTTGACGATACGCAATTTGGCATAAGCGTGGATATTAATTGTAGTAATACAACTAATATAAGAAACACACATTTATTATACACGTATTCGAGAGGTAACCTTCTTTTTTTAACCCAAAACCAAATAATCTTCAAAAAATCTTTGAATATTAATCGATGACATGCCATTTGTTTTCCAGTCGATTGGAGGGTTCGTCCGTTGGCGGTGGTTGTTAAGTTATGGGCAAAGCACCATAGGCTTAGAGAATCATACTTGACTAGCTACGCATTGATGCTGATGCTGATTAACTTTTTGCAAAGTACATTTTTTCTTTATTTTGTCAAATTGTTTTACTTTCCACTTAGAGTATTGACAAATATAAATTCCCCTTTTATTATTATTATTATTATTTTTTTTTTTTTAAGCTGTTCAGCCACCAGTTCTACCTTGTCTTCAAAATCTTTTGAAAGATAAGTTCAAGCGTGACCAAAATATTCAGGAGTTGAATTTTTTTGAAAAGTTTTACATTCCGTTTACCTCTCGAAACTGCCAAACTTTAGCTGAATTACTTCTTGGATTTTTTTCGTACTACAAGGATTTTGAGTACGTATTTGATGGGATATGAATCCTAAGTATGATAAAATAACACATTGATATGGATTTTTTTCTTTTAGTTTTGCGAGAAATGTTATATCAGTCCGAGAAGGTCGTACTATTCCACTACAACAATACAAGATAACATACTACCATGACATGGCCACCTATTCATACAGATATTTGTACATTATCATTGAAGGTATGTACTGAGAAAATTTAACCAGTTCATACATGAAGTATGTATTGCATTCGATTACATTTTTTATCATTTATTTCTTTAGAACCTTTTCATTTGGCAAACATAAGCAAAACAGTACGTTTCATTCATGAATTTGCAAGGATAAAAAAAATTTTTTCGTCTTCAAACGACAGACTTAGCAGCTCTAAGACCTTAGATTCCCTATTTTTTAATTGTTAATCATTGTGTGCTCATTACAACAAAATATTGTTTTTCTTTTTTCCTCTGTGTAACTTATTTTTCATGTAATCCTTTTACGTCCCTCGAATCTTACACTTGCATGTAATAAAAATAATATGCTTCGAAATAAAGATTCTTTTTATAATCGAGAACGTTTCATTTTTCATAAAATCTTATTAATAAATTTTACGTTTAAAAAATACATTTAAGGTTTATTTATAGAAAGATGTAAATTTTTTCAACCCACTAGAAACAGAACGAATTAAATAAAAATTTTTTAAACAAATTAAATAAATTTTTTGCTTTTCATCCTTATTTTTCATGAGTACTTTTATCATCCCTTACTAAATATATTTATTTCATATCTTGACCACGGACAAATAATATGAATTCTCCATCCTTTAATCTCTTGTAATTGATGCATATTATGTAAAAAAAAAAACAAGTGTCGGAGGGGAGGCAAAAGACGGGGATTCCCAAGTGCGTTGCAGTGTGTAAGGCTGCGTATACATGGAGTCTTGAACTTCCAGGACCAGCTATAAGCCCATGTGAGTGCGAGTGAGAAGCAAGAACATATTACTCTCTTTCTCGCACTTACACGGGCATATGGGCTGGTCCTGGAAGTTAAATAAAGACTCCATGTACTTAGGTATACCTACTTACGCAGCCTAACGGGTATTATCAATTTGGCGCTGCAGTCTCAAGTAGCATGAAATAGCACACCGGGTACCGGACATTGTATAGGACCTATTAAGTATATAACAAAGGAAAAAGAAGCGATAACAAACGAATCGACGCTGGTCCTTTGTTTTCGTTCTATATGCTTACTATGCAGTGTATCCTTTCTTGCATGGGTACTTGGGCCACTTAGTGAGCAAAAAGACTTGCGCGTGTGCAGATTATCCTGGACGCTCGGCTTTTTACAAGTTTTTTTTTTTGTGCGAAAGTTGAAGTATTTATATACATATATACCATCTGGTTTCTTTAAGGTAAAGTACTTTCAATACTTGTTGTGGTGATAGTCGCGGTCCTTCATAAATACTTAATAAGAATTTTTTTATTTTGCGCAATTGTATTACGAAATTTTGGAAAAAATACGATTACTGATGTGCACTTCCTACATGAATCTATGAGCAGCTACTCAAGGAGTATCAACCTTACAATAGAATTTATCCAAGTGGTTTAAATCATATTTTATAGCTTGTCGCAACAATTGTTTAACTTTTCTTGTTAGGTATTCGTAAAAAATGGCTGAAGGTTGGCAGGTGTTGTGTTTCGAGGCTCCGGATAGGTTCTACACCAAGGCTAACGCTTTTTTGGAAGTAAAAAGTCCACCGGAGGGTTGTTACGTCTTGTCTGGCTTGTCTAAAGAGATTTGGAATAAGTTTGAGAGTAACAAGCAAACTCGTTCTGAGTACGTCAACAAAATGTTCCTCTGGTGGCAGCTCAGCAGGTGCATAAGGGTATGACGATTAGAATAATTCAAATAATAATTTAAATGATGCATATTTGTAAATGTTAGTCCATTATTATGGTGAATAAAGTGATTAGAAGATATTAACTTATCTTTCCTCATATTTTAGACGGAATTCCCTGACAAGAGTTTGTTAGTGGCTGGTTCGACTATCAATGGTTTTGGACTGAAAAGCAGTGACATAGACTTTAGCTTTATATCAAAGCCAATGAATACTGATAAACAAATATGTTTGAACACTCTGACAAAGTTGTTGAAAACTTTGGAGAAAGAATATGGTAAATAATCTTTTAAATTTATTTTCAAGTTCTTGACACAACATTCAGGTAGAATTCTTGTTACAGAGCAATTGAGTTCTGCTAAAATTGTACCTGCCACGGTTCCAGTTCTCAAATTTAAAGACACCCAGTTTGACTTAAATGTGGATATCAATTGTAGCAACGTTGCTAACATAAGAAACACTTACTTGTTACATTGTTATGCACAAGGTCAATGATTTTTTCAACATTTTCAATATCCTTTTAACACCTAATCTGAATAACACTCATTCTTTAGTTGACTGGCGAGTTAAGCCATTGGCGGTGGTAATTAAACTATGGGCAAAGCATCACAAGATCACTGACTCGCATTACAGATCCTTTTCAAGCTACCTATTAATGCTGATGTTCATAAATTTTTTACAAGGTAAGAAAACTTGATATTTCGTTTTAATCGCTCATAGGGATAAGGAATGTAAATTTTAACTTTAGTAGGTGTTCAGCCACCAGTTCTGCCTTGTCTCCAAGATCTTTTGAAAGATAAATTCAAACATGATATAGATGCTGAAAAATTGGACTTTTTTGAAAAACTAGACATTCCTTTTGACTCTAAAAATCGACAGACATTGGATGAGCTTCTTCTTCAATTTTTTTCTCACTACAGCAACTTTAAGTAAGTCATTTCATTTGACATACGACATTCAAAATACGATAAAATATTGAAATTTTAATTTTAATGTAGTTATCAAAAGAATGTCATTTCGGTGCGAAAAGGACTTTCAATTCCAATGTTACAATACAAGTGGGACAGTACCCATGATACAATTTCTTACAGCAAAGGATATATTTTTATTGAAGGTAAGAGGGAAATAAAATTCATCCATGCAAAAATTTTTATCGAGTGTATTCTTTACTGTTACAGAACCTTTTCACTTGGGAAATATTGGCACGACAGTACGCAAACTCTCTGACTTTGAAAGAATTAAAAGTATTTTTCTTAGTTCCTACTTAAAACTATTAGCACATGACAACTTAAAATCTATTTTCGATTAAAGTTTTTCATAAATTATTTATTTATTCGTCCCAGTTGAGATCTTTTTATTTTTATATTTCGAGTATAGCCAAGTTTTATGTCACATTTTGCTCTGAAGGTTGACCTTTCCACTTGTATTTTTTTCTATTATGTAATTGAATTATGTAACGTAATGAATGTAATAAAACTTTTTAATATCAACGAATTAATTAGAGTTAGGATCTTGAATAGTAACCATCCATTGAGTATAGTTTATAAATGATCACGCGATACATTTTTTACTCTCATCCCTGAAATTAATGGAACATGTATTTCCTGTGGAATAAGGTGGACATCTATATGTATGTGTGTGTATACACGTCTCTGGAAGCAAGTATGGCATCATTATCTTCCCATTACATATGAGAGTTTTTCTTAACTTACTTTCAAGCTATGCAGATCATAAGACAAAGTTCCATCTGCATACAATTTTTTTTAGTTAAGGTTTAGGAGCTTCCGTCATACCATTAGCTCATACATTGTCTGAAGAAAATAACGCAATGCCACTACAGGGACAGATTTTCAAGGTGAGTAGAGTCCATTTATCAACGGCTGCCGTAAATTTTAGTCATCCCTACTATATGTAAAATGCACCGTTATCTATTCTACATTTGATATATGACACTGCAGAAACGAGGTACTTTCAACTATTTTTTTCTACGCTGACTTTTACGGTCACATAGAAGAATGTCTTATATAATAATGATAAACAACTGTAGCAGGTCAGAACGCGTACAAATCGCTGAGGTCACTCTGATGAAGAGGTAGGTCCGGTACTTACTTGATTCACAGCACAGTGTAACACTTGGAATTTTTTTTTTTTTTTTTTTTTCATCATGCTGTTTTCATTTATATAAAAGTACCCTAATACAACTTTCTTTGGGGCACATTTTTTATTTTCAGGAACTTTCTTGGGTTTTTTAAAACGCGTTTCTCTCACTACATAGGAGATATCATTCATGATGGCAAGTTTTGTGCAAGTAATAAAATATTTGCTTCTTTTAACTTTTATTTTTTTTTTAAATTCTCCTTTGTTTTTTAGATTCTGACACTAACTCACTATTGGTCAATGCGCAATATATTTTATAATTGAAAAAATACAACTAGATCAAGTCTTTTACAAGTTACTAATTTGATTTTTAATTTCAAATCTGAGATTTATAGTTACTTTTTACAATGATTAAAAATACATCATTAGTTATATAAAATGATTTTTTAACTGCACGCAATAATTAATTCAGCAAAGAAGTTTTTAACACAAAGTTGTAGTTAATGCAAGTAACTTGCAAGTACACAGTGAATCTCGTAGATTGAAAAATAGGTCATTTTCATAAGATGAAATCTACTTAATATTTTTTATAATTCCATATTTTCTACGTTTGATGACAACGAATTGCCATCAGTGCTACACAGAGGATACAATTTTTCAATTGTATTAATCACGTCTGACAAATCGTAAGGGAGTATTGGATATTTCTGGTGTGTTTCTGGAAGTATTTTATTATAAAGAAATTCAACAATGTTGTACGTTTTGTAGTCCATCGTAATGTTTTTGTAGTTCTAAAAAAAAAAAATTGAAACCATTAGAAAAAATAAAAAAAAGTCTGAAATTCATTTGGACAGCTAAAAACGATTAAGTTTACCTTCAATTGTTTGTTTTTAGGACTTATTTGGATAGCTTTTAAAAAATAAGTTAAAGCATTCTTAATGTCGATCTTTATGAAATAAAATTGCATGGCTGTATGTAGAAATATTTGTTGCACCAGAGTAGTATTCTTATTGTGCCTTGTCAACATTTCGTCCAAATGTTTGACGTAATTAAATTTCTTATTGATAATCGACATGCATTTCGCATACTGCAGGTCTGCCTTGTAATTTCCTTTTTCTGCACCTTTACTGTAATACAAGGCAGCCATCTACAAAGATCCAAATTATCAACATCTTACTGAAAACTTATATGTACAGTAGCACAAATGAAAAAACAAAAAATTAATTACCTGGTAATTTTTTTGTTTTTCAAAGTAAAGCCCTTTGTAATGGAGATACATGCTATTATCTACACATCTGATTTGCACAAAATCTAGACAGTCCTTGGCATAATCGTAATCTTTGCTCTTCATAAAATTTAAAGCCAATCTCAATCTTATACCAACGCTTTGTGGATTGCAGTTATATATTTCCATGCTTATCTGCTTAGCTTTGCCATACTCTTTCATTTCTCCGTACATTTGAGCAACAAAAACTCCATAGTAATGGCTTCCAGACAACTCGTACGCTTTGAGCAGGTGTTTAATCTCGTCTGGTAGAGGCTCAAAGTTGGAATCATCACGCCGCAAGTGCCGGATTTTTTTGCCAAGGATAAAATTCCACAGTGCACAGTTGGGACTGTTTTGAACAGCTCTTGAGGCATAAGCCAGGGCAATGCTCTTGGGCGCATCAAAGAATACAGACCACGAAAGGCTCTTACAGCCATTGAGGGTGCCAATGTTGGTTTTGTCGCGTAGCTGCTGTGCATCGAGCAAAGGTACTTCCGCCAAGATTTTCTGTGCTCCGGCATGATTTCCTCTTGCCACGTAATAGTGGTACTGGCTTGCTCTAACAATGTGTACCAAGATTTTGATGGATATTCCCTCTTTTTCTAGTTGCCTACCAACAAACATAGATATTGTTTGAAATAGTTTGAACAATAGTTTGAAACAGCGCAATATCATAACAAAAATAAGCCAAAGTATGAACACAATGATAAACTCACGGGAAATCCATCGAATTGAGTACTTCAATGGTCTCCTTGACCTTGGCGTAAGCAGTATGCAAATCTTTTTTTATCACGTGCACGTAGATGAGGGTGATGGAGTGCATCAGCGCCTTGATCGGCTGATCCTCGATGTTGACGTACGCATCTTGCTCATAGGTTTGAGCGAGATTTTCGTCCATCACCCAGGTAAATGGGCACTCGAGCTTGTTTTCTGTGGCCTGCACATCATCATCGTTCGAACAATCTACGTTCATTTTCTCTTAATTTCCTTACTATTTATATCAATAGCGTGACACACGTGATACCTCCTATCCTCCTAACAATGTAACATGATCTTTATGCTGCGAGATTGTATAGTCGATTGTCCATGCCTGATGCACGCGAGTTGTATTGAAAAACAATAGAAATGGTCGGAATCAGAGATAAGTAGGGTCGGAATACTCGGAATTGACGAACCAACGGGTAAGAATTAAGGTGTAAGTATAAAGGTTGTAAGGGTTACAGGTGAAACTGCTGGGGTGTGATCGCTCGCTCGACGTACAGACTAGTAAACTTGTTCAGACCTGTTTTATCTATCTTGTTTATGCATACAAGTCAACAATATGAAAAAAAAGAGTGCATAAAACATAATGATAATCTATGGCGTACTTATTTTGGATCTTGCGGGGATTCACTATAGGAAGGATGAAAAAATATCATCCATGATATTTACAATACCTACGGAACTTTTACATACGTACTGATGTATAATATCATAATTATGTATTATGTACATACATACAATGTAACTAGGTATAATAAATATGCACTGTGCAGGTAGCTGAGTTATTTCCTATACCTACTAGCTCTTATCAGAGTGCTACATAAACAGGATACTTAGATATTTTATTAGGAAATAAAACAATAATTTAAATTCAACACAATGGAGGATGCAAAGAGTGTAAAATATAAATAAGTGTATCACGATTTGGATCTATAGTGGTATTTACGTTTTTTTAAATAATTATGGCATATAGTGCTCGTTCAATGATGACTTTTTATTCCCTGGATCATATTCATTCTAAAAATGTAACGAAAATTGGATAGGTTGCGTGTAAATAATTTATTTACAGTTTTTCAAGGAATGATTCAGATGACGAACGATAATTTTCGAAAACGCGCGACTTCATCATTTTTCAGATACTCAGATGACATGATGACATCTAAATGTACATCTTTGGTAGTCTTGGGTTGAGACTCAATAATTTGAGTTTCGCGCGAGCACGTGGGCGAGGGTTCGAGTAATAAGGGTGTGTACGCACAAGTATGTTTAATATCACTTTAATGCTACAACGTTGAGCTAGTTGTACATAACTTAATAAAGAGAAACTTAATGTAAATGTTACTTGGATTAATGTTAATAATTATAAATGGCTTTTCTTGAGCACGTACAGGCCGTCGAGCTTGGCGGCGTCCCGCGCGCAGTCATACCTTGCCAAGGTCACTTTGGTCCCTTTTTTTCTCGACTCCTTTTCCAGCTATTTCCCTCGCCTCAGCTGTGGTGGTAAGAGAGCGCCTAAGAGCAAGCAGGACGGTCGCGGTACCACGGTGATCAAGCGCGGCATCGCTTGCCGTATACGCCAGCGCGTGCGAGAGAGAAAGAGCTTGACTGAATTAGTCAAAGTCCTCTATCGGCTTGCTTGCGAGTCTTGCGACGATGGCATGTCTGACGTATCTTATCTGTCATCTTGAAATCTTTATCTAATATCTTTATATCTTACTGCAAAGCGCATGCGCGAATGCAAAAGAAAATAAGAAATCGAAAAGCGGAAAAGCTAAAAAATGCGCGTTCCGCTAGATGGCGCTGATGTTCATTCAATTTATTCGTCATAATCCGTCATCCGAATCGGATAATCCGAATATTCGATATCCCAATTTTGATTATCATATTACTTATCCCGCTTATCCGTTATTTAATGAAGTAGTAGTGATGGTGGACAAGTGAGCGTGTCAATTATTAGTAGTGAGTTATTATGTGTATTACTTATAGTTAAGTTACGTAGAATAAAATTAGTGAAATTCTTTTTATCTAGGGCCTAGGGTATCGTTTTGCAGTTGTGCAGCATCTGTGTCACAAACCAATGTATACATTTAAAGCATATAACAGATGCAATAAACAATTGAAATAAGAACAGGTACACAAGTATATAGGTAGAGTGTTAGTAGAAATTTGATGAAATTGTTGTAGATACATCCGAACTGTGAACTTGAAACTTGAGAGTCCACTCTGGGGATAAAGGAGAGATGATTAGCGCTAATGTCGGGGACAGCTTCTAAAATTCATCGCCTCATGTAAATTTACATTAGTAATTGGTGCTTTATCATAAATTACAATGAACTACTACAAACTGTTTTTTTTTTTTTTTTTTTAGGCATTAAGCCTTAAAAAAGCCTTATTTGAACTTTGAGACAACAACTCATTCTGATCGCTGATTGTGTAAGTATAAGGGTGCCTGTACATGGAAGACCTGATGCTGTTTGGCAACTTCCCGTCAAAGCTCTCTGGTCTCATGAGAGTGAGAGAGAGAGAGAGAGGTTCATCACGTGACCACATTTAACCTCTCTCTCACTCTCATGAGACCAGAGAGCTTTGACGGGAAGTTGCCAAACAGCAGGTCTTCCATGTACAGGCACCCTAAGTAGTACCTACTCCATCTACTTAAATGTGACCGCTTTAAATTGTAGTGAACTTCATTATCTGAAGTAAAAATTTCAGATAGCCCAGATAATATACTTATCTACAATGCACCGCCGTAAGAGAGCACTGAAAACTGAGAAACTGAGTATACAACCTAAGAACGGGTATTACCGCTCAGTTCTACTTCGACAGCTTTCCTCCCAGCACAAGTAAATATATTTTGATTATTATTATTTACCTAATTCTGAATTTAAACTAACTAAAAACTATTAAAAAAATTATGAACACACTAACACACACAGAAGGGTGCGCGCGCGCATTTATTTTCCCTCTCTTCTTTTGCAGCATGTTTTGTACTTAGCATGTGCAGAAGCAGAAGAGTGTGCGACGCACATGCGGCTAACTTAACTATAAGTACTATACATACATACATATATCCAGTAGTTTCTTTCTTATCTCTCTCCATCCAATAGCATGGACTGGCTGGAGTATCAGTGCACCTACAGTAGCTCAACATAGCACCCGCGCCGCTTTCCTCTCTGGAGGGAAGGACAGTCGGATATTTTTTTTTTTTGACTCGAAGAGAGAAAGAGAGAGATTAGAAAAAAAAGAAGCTGATACATCGTGCAGTTGTATACCATCGTAGTCGCGAGGATGAAACTCGACGAGCAGCTGTTGTTCTTGTAGCCTAACGCCGATATACGTGTTGAGAGTTGGTGGGTAAACCGCGCGCAGAAGCCGACTCTTCGGGGACATTGCACACTTTGCTCATAAATCAGATCTCAAACTTCGCCCCACAAAGAATTGCGGGGCTTAACATTGCCTCCCTTTAGCTTTGGAGTACGTGTCTGGCGAATGTAACGAGGCTGGCCCGTTTAAAGCATCTCTTGCCTTAACGAAACCTACACACGAGGTGAGTCCATGTTTTGTTGTTCTCTCTTTTCCTCTATTGTACTTATTAGTACAACCTACAATGTCCTTATACCTACCTGTCTACTACTCGTGATCGTCGTACGTATAAGATATGGTATACATAGAAGCATGGCCATGCCGTTTATGGTTGCTGCTCCGAAATTACGGGGTGTAAATCCGCGCACATGCAAGTAGGTATAGATGTTCATATATTCCCACTTGAACTTCTTTTATGTAGGTAAAGATGCACAGTACCCATCGGCCGCTTGTGGAGTGTGGACTGTGTATTTGTGTCAAGGGTAGAAAGTACGTAGTAGACCTTACAGACACCACCTACATTCGTAGGACTTCATAATATAGGTACAACTAAACTCTTTGTTTTTTTTGTTTTTTTTCGCGCATTATTTTGTACTTTTTTTTTAACAAAACGAGTTTTTTCACACGGAAGCGTTTTCAATTCACGGCATGTTTGTGAATTTCGCTCCACTTAGTACGTCGTTACCCATGGAACGTTTATTTGAGGTTTTTGGAACGTGTATTTTTTTTTTTTTTTTTTTTTTCCTCTCATTCTATATTTCTTCGAGGCAGAAACCGACACCGGGATTAAGCAGCCTATGTGTAATACACACTCGTAGATACACGTCGTAAAAACTTGATCTACCTATATTATTCCGTAGTACGGTATCTCAATAATGTTTATGTTTCTCCTTGTCGACTTGTAACGTTATTCAATATGTGTATAATGTTATACTTGCGTGTATTATGTAAACTATACAAGACTTGTGACGCTTGGTGATGTATAAGCTTTCGTTTGTCAATGTAAGAGCTTAAAGCTCCATTTCGAGTTTGATCCAACGTAAATTTTGCCTCTCTTGATATTTTTTATACGCAATGCCTCACACGTAACGCCTATTGTGATCGTTATTTTTTCGTACGACTTTTTCGTATCGAAATTTTCTTAATCAATCGTTTATTTCTTACCATTTTCGGTTCTTTTAAGTCCTTACAGTGCATCGCAACAATTTATTCTCCATAGCGACGAAATATTTTTTATTTTACAAACCACTTGTGCTGCGGGAAAGCAACGTGTACACAAACCAGATAAATTGCTATTTACGCGATTCATACAAAATCATATTCGCGTACATGCGACGCTTGGATAATGAAGCTTTTTTGTTACGATTCCAAGCGGCACAAACATTTCTCATTTATCGAACTAACACGTGCGCAATGTAGTAGTATATTATCAACGGGTACAAGTACGTACATAAACATCAATTATTAAAAGTCACTTGGGAGTTGTCGGTTTTCTTTCATTGAGTATTATATATTTGTAAAAAACATTGCTGGACCCGTGTCTCGGAAACACCATACGGAACAGAGCACAATAGATTATAATTAGGTATAGCTCGTCGAGACGATTCGATTTCATTAATTCAAACGAGTCGCCGGCTGTCTCATATCCTATGCAAATAGTGTTTGCTCCAAGCCAACGTAGATCCTAATGTTAACGCGATGCGTCCTTGAAAATCTCCATATTTGTTGATGAACTTTTTAGCCGTCACTATTTTGAAGATTAATGCGATGAAAAATTAAAACAATCCCAAGTGCAAGAAGCAAGTTTTCAAACCCGTGAACGTAACGCGACGTAACGTGATGCACTTGCAGTTTGCAGTGTGATAACTATGTCATAACGTGTGTGTATGTATACACCGCATTTGCGTGAAAGCAATGAAAGCCCGATAAGTAGCATCCATCGAATTTCTATTTTAGCAATTGTGGACAGTTATTTGTTTGAACAGCTGATTGGATTTTATATCATCTATTTATTTACTTGTTTGTTTAATTATTAATTTCTGTTAATTCAATTTACGTGAGAACAAAAATGAACGTTTTCCCTAAAGGTAAAAAAAAAATAAATAAATAAATTGTATGCTTTACATACCAACCAAATTCGCGGTTTGTTAGTCCGGTGTTATATGATTATTTAAACGACGAGCGATGGAACAGAATTCGTCTAAATCTAAATCGGCTTCGATTTAAATTCCTTCTTAAATAAACATCAGCTGGACTATCCTTCGTCAAAACGCTCATCTACAATACGTTTTCCGATGCGCAAAAACATAATATAGGGTACGCCCGTCAGTGGCAATCGTTACTCTTCAACGAGTGACGGATACAAAAATAAATAAAAGAAAAGAAAATCCATCCGAAATTCTGCATTGCCAATTTCATTGGGAAACCCCAACAGTTACCAAAAGCCATCCTAAGAAATCCTTCGTAGAAATAAATAATAATTAGGAGTTGGAAAAAAAAGGACGGAAGCCCTAAGCCCTAGCGTGTAGCGAAATGAAGGAGGAACAAGAACCAATATGTACATATATATAAGAGCACCGTTGCGTCGAAGCTATATATATACACTATATATTTTAGCGGGAGACGCTGAAACTAGCGCCCGTGGCGTCACTCTCTCGTGTTTAATTAAATGGGAGAGTACAGGAGGGACTAACAAGCGCCAATCGAAATATAATTTTTTTTATGGAAAAAACCAGCGCTTCCTCGTACAATATACGTCACATGACGTAAATATTCAACGTGCAGCTGGTACTGAATTATCGTGTATACGGTACATCTGGGCAGTACATATAGGTATGGGCGTGTTTTATATGGTGTGCAAAAACGACGTAGAAGGATACACGAGAGGAAGAAAAAGACCTTGTCAAGGTCCACCGCTGGCACGCAGTAGCTTCCATAGCTGGCCTTTTTTTTCCAATGCGTCGAGAAGAGGGAAGGTTGTTGTATGGTGTTGGGGCTGGTAAAACTAGTTTTTTGCGGCTAAAAAGAAAAAAGTGATCCAAGAGAATGCATTAGAAGTTTTGTATAGAAAGAGGCGTTGGAGGCTGAGGAGAGCGTGTTAAAAACGCTCGTCGAAATGTGATCGATAACCACGTGCTGGTGTGTACAAATGATTTTTCCCCTGTCTACCTATAACCCATCGCTTCCTCTTGCACAGCAGTAAAGGCGTACCTACTTAGTGAGAAAACTCATTTAGGTACGTTGTTTCGAACATAATTGGCCAGGTGACGATTTTTATTCATTTTGATGAGGTATGCAACTATTTTTGAATCTTTTCAAAGTAATTTATTTTAGTCTGCATAATCCTTTTTTTCGCACGTATTTAAAAAATGAGATATTACCATTTAAAACTCCAAAACTTCCTTATTTACACAGTGTAAGAACTCGTATCGTTTTGAAAATTGTATTTAAAATGTCTTTAGTCGAAAACACGTGTTTTACCTATTATAATCTTTTTTTTTTTACCAGTCTAATAATTTGTGTTTAATGAACAGTTTTTAATTGACTTATAATTGAATAAATTCATTAAATACAAACAAAATATTATCCACACCCAAGTTTATTTGAAAAAATTTTACACAACTGTACTTACTCTTATTTTTACTGATAAAAAAAAAGTTTACGCAATAAAAAAGTTCTCACATTTTTGTATCAAGTGCAAACAGGCATTTATAGCCTACGGCTTACTATATCTGTCTATTTGACTACTGAGAGAAACTCGAGATCATGTTATTTAATCTTACGTTATATTATATGTATACGCGTACACCGCATAAAAAATCGCCTACTCATTTTTTCTACATTTGTTAATTTCATTAGGTAAACGTAACAAGTTTCATTGTAGATACAATTAAAATATTTCACTGTAAAATTTCACATTGTAAATAACCCACCAAAACCCAAAATGAGATTCATGTGTTCGTATTTTTATGTTTTCCAATTGCGATGAAAAAAAATGAAGAGGCAAAGTTTCCAGGCTACCTATTTTTTTCGCAAGATTAATTTTCAATGCTTACACTAGCATAACATATACATACACTTACAACGTTACCATTGTATTAATTGTTATGTCTGCGTTGGGGACAAGCAATGCCTATATATAGATACCCCCCGCATACACATCATCGTATCACAATGCACTCTTATCTTCGCGGGATGAATGAATATATATTATAATATACATGCCTCGTAAATCACAATGATAACATGTATTATATATTGTGCGTGCGCAGATAGTCGTATACCATATATTTAAAAAGCCCGTTCATTGTTCCTGTGATCTCAGAAAGTCCCATTGCGCCTACGAGCGTCGCACGTCTCGTGCTACATCAACACCTTTTGTACCCCTTATCTTATATAGGAGAAAGAAAAAACATTTTTTAATCGTATTACGATACTGTTGCGCTCCGCGTCAATTTCGCCGAAGAAGCTTCATATAAAGTGCAAAAAATGCTGAAAGAGCACGTGCAAAGGATCTTGATGAATCGGTGCGCGCCTGGATAGAACGACACCCCGACTCTTCTTTGTAATCTTTTATTGCTTTCTCGCTCTCTTTTTTTTCATCCTTGCACAAGTCAAATTTTCGTTCAAGGGCTGCAAGGTCGACATGCCACTCCATAATGACCGACCGCTCTTTAAACATAATCATTTCCAGGTACGATACTTACTCCGTGGTACATTAAGATATTTAATTTGGTAAAAAAATGCCATTAGCCTATTTTAGTAATGTGTGTGTATATATATATATACAACCTATTCTGATATCACGAGGATTAGTGGTGTGCAGTTTCCGAGAAACTGAACCGTACAGTTTGGCTCTTTACGAGTACTTGCTTTTATTATTATTATTATTTTTACATTACAATTTAATCTATCTACTTTTTGTTGAATGAAAAATTCTTCAAAATAAAAAGGTGTTTAATTAGTGCTACTGTTTTCACAAGAAATGATAACTAATCTCAAAATATTGCGAAAACCATTATCACGTGATAACATACTGTAACGTTTTTAAATATCGCTTTATAATTAATTTTTTTTTACTACTTTTGTATATCTTCCACGTTTTTTTTGTACTGGTATAATGCGTAAAGTTTCAGAATGTTATCAATCATCCTATATTTGTTTAGTGTGTATCAATGAAGTTAATTAATGAAAATAATTTTTTTTTTCCTCAATCAAGTACATTCTTTTTGTTAAAAATTATTTTTTTATTCATTACTGTTCACGATATAAAATTAAAAAAAAAAATTTTGTAGGTGAATTACATTTCATACGTAGAATTTTATTGCTTAAACTATTGTCGTTTGTGTCAAATNAAAAAAAAAAAAAAAAAAAAAAAAAAAAAAAAAAAAAAAAAAAAAAAAAAAAAAAAATAAGTCGAGCCCTGCGTAATTAAAGTAGTAATTTAAAAAACGTGTCGACGTACTTAATAAATTCATCACCTTTTTATCAAAAAAAGTATACTGTTACAAAGTTGAAAAAGTACCTGTACAAGTCTGTGTCTACCGTGTTCATGATAAGGATGAAACTTTTTCTGCTACCATATTTGCTTTTACTTAAACGTATTGTATAACGTCATAAACACATTTACTTATTGTTTATGTATAGTTGTATGATTTAATGGTGTATTTGATAAATCATACTTGATGAGCCCACTGTACGAATTTAACACAGTATACGTCAAATTATTGTAGCCTATCACTTGAATTTCGCGTGCGCGTGTATAATACACGAATCTGATGATTTCCAAGTTTCATTCAGTTCGTATTGATTTTATCCGGTTCATTTCTGTAATAAAAAAAAAATTGGATTTGACACAAACGAGAATATTTTTCAGAATTTTAATTTAAAATCTTGACGCTGACTTTTGTTACCAAATCTAGGTACTTAGTATTTGTTTTTTAGATGTCATTTCCTAATGTTTACCATTTTTCACCACACACTTAGTAAATATATTATGCTAAAGAGATACAAAGGCTCATCTTACAAATCCAAGAAATTTCTAGCGTAGCTGAAAGTCATTATTTTGTTTGTTTTTTTTTTTTTTTTTCCTCTGTGATATCGAACAACCAACCAAAGCGTATTCAATACAAATTCAAGGTTTCCACGCGTTTCCGCGACTCCGTAATACGCGCGATATTAAATTTATAATTGCTAAATATTGGAAACTGTACCACCTGCTCGCACGATTGGAGAGTATTTCTTTTTTTTTTCCGCTTCTGTACATGACATTTTGTTTTTTTCTTATTCCGGAAAAAGAGGAATTAGAGGCTCACCAACGGAATTACGCAACAAACGAAGACATCGGGCATTATGTAATAAGGATGTTGTGTTTTTATCATGTAACACTCGGTCGGTATACTTAAACGGATTATTCCACTTTGTGACGCACTCGGAAAACCTTTGCTCGCTCTCCTTCTCTCTCCTTCTCAAACTATAAAAACTTCGCTTAGGATTTTTTTTTTTCGTCAAATGTACGCAGGTAAAAATATTTGGTAGAAATAATGCATCAAGTAGAAAACAGCTTTTGCTTTATACGGTAATCACATCGAATTTCACGTTTTAAAAAACGTAAAAACTGTGTGTTTAAAACTTCAAAGAGAAGGAGAGAGAAAAAAAGCACTCGAAGCGCGAAAACTCCCTCAGAGCAAGTCGATTGAGAGTAAAAACGTCAAAGGTGGATTTCCATCGATGAATAATCTACAGGCTATACGTGCTTGCATTTCACGTGTATATAGAGCCAAACCGACAGCTGCACGTATATGCGTAGCTTTTCACTTTCAAGGATATCTTTCACTTGAAAAGGGAATGATGACTCGATAAGGACAAACTCCAGCTGTATACGTGTATGTACATGAACGTCAAGTGAGCGTTTTATTCGATTAGCGCGGAATCGACATTTGCACGATGTAATAGACGATGGTATTTACGTGCGTTTCATAAGTGTATCGAGTATTTTGTGCACGCGAACTTTTGAATATAACTTACAAAATTAAATATGCCTAACTACGTGTAATGGAAAAAAAATTGGATGCAATGGCGTGTCCCTCGGTTATTTTATTTTATTTTTTTTCCTCTTTCGGCATTAATATTACAAAATCAACTTTGTATAAAACGTGTAGTTCTGGTGAAATACTTTTAAAATAAAAACGATCGATTGATTGTTCAATAAATTTTATACGTGAGGAATTTCAGAGCGAAGAACTTTATTTTACGACGTCAACTTTTACAACCTTATTTTCTACTTTACATAGTAATACTTTGATATTTTATACGTCCATCAGGAGAAACGGTTCAAAGTAATTTTTAGTCTAAAACTACAACGGTAGAGTAAGATTAGGTCAATTTTCAGAGTTTAATTTATTACAAAATCAATGTTTTTGGCGAAGCAATCTTCCGTAAGATATTTTATATTTGTTGAGAAAAAAAAATGGTGGCAGAATTATGTAAAATAGAAAGAAAAAAAAATTTTTTCAATATGTGATTGAGTCACGTTCTCGGTCATGTTTATGCCTGTTCACTGTTTTCCTGATAATTTTATAAAAAAAATTCGAACTTGAATCACCTAAAACTTGATAAACTACTCATTGTGAAGTTAATGATAAATTCTTAACTTCACAGCTTTGTCATTATCCTTGTCACTGCTAATGACTTCCGTCAATCGTTATCGTATAACTTTTAATTGTCAGCGAAACTTGCCCAACTTTTTTTGTGTGAATAGTATCCACTTCACTTAAACTTTTGAATTATAGTTTTTTTTTCTTCATCCATGTGAAAGAAACTTGGTTTCAATTTATTAATATGTGTTTAGTTTTTTCTTCTTTAGTTAATAATCAATCAGGTCAGGGTTTAGAAGACATATTATGTAGGTATTTATTTAATAATAAATTTTTTTTATATTCAACATGTATTATATATTGTGCGTGCG